CAAAAAATTATTTAAAAAGACTGGGAAATTTTTAAAAGAAAACCAAATCGACTATGTACAAATAAAAAAAAAATATTTTTGTCTGCTGGTTAGTTGTCCTGATATATTTGTTAGCTGTATTTATTTTTGGCTATCATCAAAATGAAGTTCTTATTATGATTATTTTAATTAGGGATAAAAGTGGCTGGGTTTTGGAAAAAATCAACCCATATTGAAGAAATTGTACCATAGCAGGCAAGGAAATAATATAACGTGGCACTGCTGAATTTTATTTTATAAGTCAGTACTTGAAACATTAGCTATCATATTAGATGTTTTCAAGTATGGCACTTTTCCTAGAATTAAAGACCTGGTGCATATGAAAATTGACATGTAGTAAAGATGCTTATAAAATTGGTTGATAAATTAACATCAGTCACTTTCTAATTTAGAAAATAGTTGGGGAGCTGGTGAAGTTAATTGGTTTAATTTTTAAACTAAATGGAGGAAAACCAGTTCCAAGTTCTGACCTCCCTTTCAGTGATATTAGCAGAAACATTAATATGAATCCACAGAGGTTTTTTTACTATTTATTATAGTGTTCTGTTATTTTTCAGAAGAAGAGGCTGCTCCAGATGGTGCTGTTGCAGAATACAAAAGAGAAAAGCAAAAGTATGAAGCATTAAGGAAGCAGCAGGCAAAGAAAGGAACTTCCCGGGAAGACCAGGTAACTTCACAGATCAAAATCCATATGTAATTAATTACCTTTTAATTGTCTCCAAGTGTTGCTGGAAGATTCTAGTTTGGTTATAGAGAGGGGAGATGACACTCTTAAAAATGGAAAAAGAGGCCCTCCCTGGTGGCGCAGTGGGTTAAAGCAATGCACTGAGAAGCTAAAGCCACTTCCGCGTGAGTTCGATCCTCGCCTGCCCCGGAGGTGACCACATGGTGTGGCAGACCTCTCCTGGCCCGCCTGCTGCTCCCCTCAGCAGTGTACTTCGTTGATCTGCCTGTTCTGCTCCCCACTCTGTCTGTGGTGAAGCCTCTCACCACCCCTGAGCTTTTGGCCTGTACCCCAGTTCTGTATGTACAAATAAATAAATCTTTTTTTAAAAAATGGAAAAAGATGCATTTATATAGGGTACAGTGCCAAGACCTTGGCCAAATAATGCACAGGTCCAGATCTTAGAGCTCTTTCTAGGTGTTTTAGTTGAAAAGCCTAAAATTTTCAAATTTCAACCCTGTACAACCATATCAAGCACAAGAACCTTGTAAAGCCATAATTTATCAGACACTCAGAGCCTTCATCTAGGTAAATATCAAGAAATGGAGTAGTGATTATTAATGGGGAGTGCATTTTATCCAGTCCACAGTTTATGTATTAACTGATCAGTTCTGCTTGAAATTGCACACTGCCTGTAAACAAGGTATTTGACTTCCACTGTGAATATATTACAAAATTTTAGTTATTGTAATTCCTGAATCTTTAAGTTATAATATAAGAAGTTTCTCAATTAGCAAGAGAAAAAGAGACAAGAAGCTAGCCCAACAATTTGGGGCACACTACATGCCACAGAGCACTTAGCACTCAGGAAAACATATCTCTACATCAGTCCTTCATGATGAAAGGCTAGGGCAGACCAAAATAATTTCTTTTTGGTGCTGCCATATATGTATTAGAACAAGTCATTTTAGGCATATAAATTAAACAGGGATAATAAAAGTAAATTAGAAAACCCAAGCTTATTTGAGTAAAGTAATCTAATCAGGAATTATATTATAAATGACACCTAATTACTGGTAAGGAAGAGTCATGCATCAGTATTTAGCATAAAAATAATCAGGGAAAGTTCAACAAGAAGTCGGGTATAGGAAATTGTAATTACAGAGAACTGACAAGTACAATTTTCAAAACCAATGGAACATCAAATTAAATTAAGAAAAAATACATTATTAATTTGTTTTCATGGAGTCAAAGATTTGTAAATAGCAACTATAGTAAATATATTGTTAGAAATGCTAAGGATCAATTATAATCACCCCCCCCTTAAAATAATTATTAAGAACATTCTACTGCCTTTTCTTAGCTATGAAGGAAAACAGCAAATTAAACAAGCAATACCAATAAAACATGAACATGGATACTAGGAGCTGTGTGAATACAGAAGGATCTAACAGGGGCTAACTTCAGAAAGACCGTCCTGGGAAAATGATTTATCAGCTGAGGTTTAAAGTTGAATAACAGATGAGTCACTAGACAAAAGGGACCTTTGACTTATTTGTAAAGAATTAAAAAATATTAAGTATAACTGAAACTTAAACTAAGAAAGAGAGTAACAATACTGAAGAGATAAGCAGGAGTCAGTTCTTCCAGGTTATTTTTGAGTCATATTAAGGGGTTCAGGTTTTGCCCTAAGGACAATGGAGAACCAGTGGAGGAAGTGATATGATCTCATTTGCACTTTGGGAGTGATTCTTCCACCATGTCTACAGTATGGAAAGTAAATAGCACCCAGGGTAGGACTGGAGCATAGAGGCCATGGAGAGACTTTATTTTAGGATTGTGCACACAATATATGCCAATAAAAGCTTATATTTTAATGTTGAATCTAGCATCACTATCTTAAACACTTGCTTTTTCAGGCAGCTAGAACTTCATCCCATTTCACAACTGTGTACTTTTTAAAACCTGCAGAAAATAAAAACTTCACTGAATAGATTCTGGAATAGACTATTAAAGCCTAGTAACGGTACAATAAGATTACACATTGTAGGCACTTGTTACATCTGACCTCAAAGGTCACAGGGGCCAAATAAGAGCAATGATCCCTTCAAAAAATAGATATACTCAGTATGCTATCTATGCTACTCCTTTCACTTAACAATAGAATGTAATACTTTGTGTAGTAATTTTTATTATCAGTATAAAATTATATTCATTGCTTCTTACCAAATTTATCTAGTTCCTTACTATAATAGACATTTACTATGTATATATTGCCCCTTACAAGAATTTCACCGTTGTGCTCCTCTGTTGTACAAGTCATTTTCAGTGTTCCTACATGTTTCTACTTGTGTCCCCAGGATTGGAATTATGGAAGCTTCTGATATATATAAACAGCTTTCTGAAGTGGTCACTCCCATTTCTCCATCTTCCAATAGTTAATGTACTCATCTGTTTTGTCTTCCCCAACGTAGACATTTTTACATTTTTGAAAATGTTCAATTTTTTTTGTTGGTGTTTTCTTTTTGGTTCAGTGCATCATTGCAGCATACCTCCCATCTCATACACGTAAAATAACATGCTTTTTTAAAAATTAAGCGTCTTCTGTATAAGCAAATTTATGTTTCCCAAATCAGAAAATAGTCATGTATCTATGAAAAAATATCAGTGCAAATAAGGCAGTATTAAGGTTTGTGGATGTTACTGTTTCAGCTTGAAGACAATTTGTTCTTTTCTTCCAAAATTAAAAACTTACCTAGATGTTTTATATCCTGGTAAGGGCTTTTTTCTCTACCAAATTTGTTTCTTTTAAAGTTATACTTATATTTTTCAGAAAACTTAATAATCTAATTATTATTTCAGACTCTTGCTCTGCTGAACCAGTTTAAATCTAAACTCACTCAAGCAATTGCTGAAACTCCTGAAAATGACATTTCCGAAACAGAAGTAGAAGATGATGAAGGATGGTAAGCTTTAATTCCTTTATATTAGCCACAAAAGGGAAGCTTCAGAATGTAGATACTTTAGGACATTTCTATTATATCATCCTATTTTTTTTAGACTTTGCCTTCAGTTGCACCCTCATCATTTTAGGCCCTCAGCATCCTTTAATTTATTTCAATTCAGTAAGCATACATTAGGACCTGATATGTTCCCTGTATTGTGCTTGGCCAATGAAAAAATAATAAATATATGACTGTTGCTTCCCAAAGCACCTCTCTAATATTGAGAAAAAGTTAAAATTCACACTACACAACTAGAAAGCAGCCTAAACAGATTCTCAATTGTTAACATTTTACACTTTCCCACAAACTTTTTAGAAGCCGGCATTCCATTTCATAATTCTATTAAGTTCCTCTTCAAATTTATGACCTACAAAATCCCAGCAATACATAAACAGTTAATTTATTTTTAGTCTTTGGATATTTTCAGCTTTGTAAGACTCTGACAAGAAGTAAAGGCATTAATGACTTGCTCAAATCCTGTGCTTTATTAGCATTTTATCAGCACTGAGAAAAAAAGGTGGAAAATCAAAAAATAAGTATTGCATTTTCCCTTATCACACTTGCATCCTCAAGTTGACTGTACATGTGGTATATTAGGCCTCCCCAAAACTAACTGCCTCCACCTCCCACTATACTCTGGCTCAGGCACATTGCTGCAAGCAGCCAGTGGGTCACCCCCCACACATGACTCACCCTCTGGAGCCTCTGAACTGTCACATGTGCCATTACCCCAACCCAGAATCAGCCTCACTCCCCGCTGCCAAAGAGCATCTCTCCCTCTTTCAAAAATCTGTTCAGCACTCCCAGTCCTCCAGGAAACCAGTCAGCAAGATTTGTTGAGCTCTCACAAATCTAAAGGGTGGAGGAAAGAGGGCTGGGACACTCATTAAAACAGACATAAAAACACTTATTAAGAAAACATTTAAGCAAGTAAGACTCAGCAACTATATATAACTTTAATCCAATGGCTGTAGGGCAATGATTTAAATGGAATGAAGCCTATCTACCCTGAGACCCTGAAGGCAACTGTACATTTCTCTCTGTGTACTTTCTGTGTGATCTGGGTTGTGTTGTCATTTTTTTGTAAAACTCTTGATCTCTTTTTATAGCATTCTATGACTTCTGTTTATACTTAAATTCAAAGTTGCTTAAAGACAGAAACTGGTTTTTCCCATAATTTTTCCTCTGCCAAAGGTGATGGCTCGGCGAGTGTTGATTGACCCACAGAGATAAATGCACATTATTCCAAAGAATTTTCTGTTTTTTATATGACTGGACAGGTTTAGTTTTATTTTGGATTCCTTGAATGTCTCAAAATATCTTTCAAATGTTTTAGGTCCAGCCACCACACACACAAAAAATGTTTTGCCAATTCCTCTTCCCCTTATTTTTGAATCCATATGCATTTTTTAAAGAAATATGATCCATGTGTTTCTGATTCATTTACACTTAACTCATCAAGATGGTGTTTTGTAAGAGCAGTTTGATGCCCAATAAGTTTTTCTAACCTTTTTATAAGCCATTTAAGTCCTTTTTTATTGAACAGGAAAGTCACCAACAAATTTAAACCCAGAAGTTTCATTTGAAATTCATAACCCACAGGATTCAAATTTGCTTTCAACTTGGCAAGACCACTTAACTTCTCAAAGTTCTTCCTAGCCCCTTGGTTTAGTATCCTGTCGTTTTAAATTTCTCATTAGCTTCAGATATCAATTATGTGTTTTTAAATGTGTCATTCTTGTTTTTGACATGATTTCACAATACAATGTCCTAACATCCTCATTAGAAAGTTAAACAAATGGGAGAACTCCAGATGGGGAAAAAATCACTGGTCAAAGATGTTGGCCAGTACTCCATCTGGGAGAACAAAATAAGCGGTAGTGGAAGGAGAAATAAAGCAAAAGGAACCATTACTAGATCATCAATAGGTTCATTTCAGCTTTCAGTTGCAGTCTCCTAAACAGAAAGTCAGAACTATGCAGTGCAAACCTACACTTTTTTTTTTTTAAGATTTATTTATTTATAAATAAATACAGGCCAGAGATGCGGAGGGTGAGAGGATTCACCAGAGACAGAGCAGGGAGCAGAACAGGCAGATCGACAAAGCACACTGCTGAGGGGAACAGCAGGCAGGACAGGAGAGGTCTGCCACGCCATGTGGATCTCCTCTGGGGCAGGCGGGGATCGAACTCATGCAGAAGTGGCTTAAACTTCTTAGTGCAGTGCTTTAACCTGCTGTGCCACCAGGGAGGGCCCCCTACACATTTTTTAAAATTTGTTTTATCTAACATCAAATAAAATGCCTTTATTGTCAAAGCACTATACAAAATTATATAGAATTCATGAACTCCATGTAATGCCTTTTTGTTGCAGGATAGACTATTGAAATTTGGTAACCTGCAAAGCAGCAGCATCATTATCTGTTCATAAATAAATCGGTTAAGCTTCATCGAGTCGGAGTGATTTTGATCCTCTCTCATAAAAAATATTCCACTCAGAAAGAAGTCATATTCAAAATGATTTGCAACAAATATTATGAGTGCATGGCATGTGCATGTGTGTTATGCATAAATTACATGGTTCCCAGACTATTTTGTAGGTCACGGTTGTCGCTTTTCTTAGAAGCGAAAGTCAGTCTGTACTACATTGTCAGGGTCTGTTATCTGAGGTAAAATGATTGCTTCTAAGACATTTTTATGTGTCCGCATGAGTGACCACACATTGAGGGATCGCTTTCACTTTCTGTCAAGATAGAAACCATTACCAATTTGTTATGTTTTCTTTTATTTGGCAAACTATTCTATTCGCATTTTTGGCTGAGCTGCCGTATTGGCATGGTATGCAACAGACATTTGGGTACCATTCAGCAGCATTCTACTTTTTATGCAAAAAAAAAAAAAAAAGTGGAGGAGAGAAAAGAAAAGAAATATGATTCTATTGTAAACAGTGTATATGGTGTTTGATAATTATTCCCAGATTTCACTGTCTAACAAGACATTTAAAGAAGTAGTAGTAGTAGATACAAGCTGAAATGCATAATAGAAATTTTTCACTCAAAATTGTTAGGATTCCTCCTTTGTTGAAATGTATACCACCAATATACGGTGGCATTGATAGGCACCAAATTCCAGCGTAACAGTTGAAGTAGCCCTTTCGCATCTACATTACTTAGTTGCAAAGTCTCACACTCTTAGAGCTATTGAATCTTTCAAGCATGGATTTTATAAAACCAATTAGATACATGGCAGGCATCATCAGCCAGAGGATTCATAGATCATGTGGATGAAGTCCATATGCCATTTTGGGTTGAATTAGATAAATCTTGGTTAGCTCCCAAAAAAGTTTTGAGAGCAGTGTCTGACAACAGCAGACAGACTTGTAGAAAAGAAAGCCACCTGTCCTTACACAACAAAATAGGCATTGTAAGGAGAGAAGAAAAATTAAATCTGTGTCAGTGCCATGATCTTGTGACCATTAACTGTTCACTACTATGTTCTGTTCAAAATTGTTTCCACATTGGTATATCAAAGATTAACTTAAATGCCCAGCAACTATAATAATAAACAGCATAAGGGCCTATCTACCTTCTTCACTCCTTGCTTCCCTTTCTTCCCCCTCTATTTTACCACAGCACTGACAATATTCAGCCTTAAAAAGTATTAGAAAAACACTAATAATTGCATAGTTGTCTTAATTAAATATTTTGATAATTATTTCTAAATATTCACTGTAGAAAAAAAAAAAGAACGCAACTCTCAAAAGTAAAAAAAAAAAAATTGCCCAAGAACCCAAACACACCAATACTATAAATACATATACATATATATATGTATATACACACACATACATACATACATACACTCACACACACAAATAGAAAAACCTGGGAGGCAGGTATGTATATATATATATATATATATATTGCCTACCAAGTTTTTCTATTCACATAAATATTTTGAGGTGAAATTATATCATGTAAAAATACAATTTTATGGGGCCCTCCCTGCTGGCCCAGTAGGTTAAAGCACAGCACTATAAAGGTAACAACAGCAGCCACTTCTCGAGTTTGATATTGGCCAGGGAGGTGACCCACGTGGCACAGCAGACCCCTCCTGACCGCCATTGCTCCCCTCAGCAGTGTACTTTGACTATCTGCCTGTTCTGCTCCCCACTCTGTCTCTGGTGAATCCTCTCACTGCCCCTGCACCTCTGTCCTGTACCCCAGTTCTGTATGCATAAATAAATAAATCTTTTTTAAAAAAACTACACTTTTATGATTTTCTTTTATCCCTCAGTAAATATAGTGTTACTTTTCCTTGTCATCTATAAACTTGTGATACTTAATTTTTGTATTATGACCATGTAGAATTCTACTATATGATGAACTACAGCTTATTTGATAAGCCCCATGTTGTTGGGTTATTAGGCTCTTTTCAGTATTAAACACAGCATACAATAAACATCCATCAGTTTTCCCAGGACAAATTTCTAAACCTAAATTGTTTAGTCAGTGAGTATATATGTTAGGCTTCTGCTAAATTTTCTCAAATTACTCACCCAAAATTTTTCCCCATTTATATTCCCACATAATGTCAGTGTTAAGAGTTGCATTTAAAGATACTAGAATCTCAAAAATTATTTAAGTTGCTTTGTAGTACTGTTAAGAGAATAACATTTGAAAAGTGTTTTGCCCTTGTAAAAAATATAAGTATAGCCTGGTTTGCTTCTGTTTTTAATAAAACTGGTAAAAGTTTCAACATAAGTGGTTTTCTCATCCTCAAGTCAGAATAGTCTTGTTCTTGTTTCTGGAAAGCTTTCTGCTGAAATAGTCCTATGGATTAGGACTTTTTATCTATTTTGGTTTTCCTGGTTTTGTGTTTTTGTTTTTTTTTCTTCATTTTTGTTACTGAACCTTATCCTGCTTTAAAAGTCAGTTTTGTCCATCAGACAGTTTGGCACTA